GTTGGTTCAGATGCAACATTGGTGTTTAAATTGAGCACTAAAATAAAAGATTTGGTGCAAGAAAAAACATCAGGCTGATATAAATACTTCGTAACATAAATGCATGGTATATAGTTTCCAAGTTAAACTAAGTTAACATGGGGAATGCAATTTTACATGATAGAGTAAATCAGCAGCAGTACCAGGCAAACAACAGTCTTTTCTATTTCAATGTAGTTGCAGTTGCACATACAGTAGTGCTAGTGGAGTAAGTACTATTATTGTTCTATCCTATAAATGGCACACGGAAAGAATGCCATGAATGCATAAACTTTGATGTAGTATCCCTGCAACAGAAAATAGAAGGTTTCCACTTTCCAGAAAAAATGACACTAGAAGTCATAGAGGAAATCAATTCTCTAAAAAGCATTATAACTTGCAGCATACCTTAACACATTTGACATTATATATTGGTGATTCTGAAAATAAAAAATATGACAGAACAATTAATTTTGCTAGAATTACATAAATCAATTACTGAGATGCCAGTACGATTCTACAACATTAACTGAAACTTCCAGTACAGCCCTTTAAGAGGAGCCACATTTTAAAACTGCATCAATGCTTGAATTCGAAGTACAGTTTTAACGCCTTTAAAAAAATTAACATGGTGAATCGATGATTCTGAAAATAAAAAAATATGATAAAACAGTTAATTTTGCTAGAATTACATAAATCAATTACTGAGATGCCAGTACGATTGTACAATATTAACTGAAACTTTCAGTACAACCCTTTAAGAGGAGCCACGTTTTAAAACTGCATCAATGCCTAAATTCGAAGTACAGTTTTAACGTCTTTAAAAAACTTAACATGATGAAATAAAAATCATAAGGAAGCCGAAGGACATCATGCTTCGATGGATGCTGGATTTTTGGGACAAACCCTAGATCATGGAGATTCCAAGTTCTAGAAGGAAGACGAAAGAGGAGAAGTGTTAGGGTTTCGGGTACCTAGGTACTGATGGATTGGGCCGCCATTAGAGGAGCAGCCATGGATCCTAACGAACTCACATGAGCCACCAAGGATCCCGTCGCCCTTGCACGAGCGGCCATGGATCCAGCCACCCTAGCCCCAACCGCTGACTGTGTTGCGCCCCTGCCGCCACGGACGCCGAACCCTAGCGCCGTCGCCACCGGAGGGGAAACAACACAAGGGAAAAAGTGAGGTCATGACAGCAGTTGCTGCGTCGTCACCAGGCGCAGGGCCTCCATAGCCCCCCACTGCTTGCATATCTTAGAAGAGGAATGGGGTGGGGAGGGTCTGTATCGAGAGGCGAGGAGGAACCGAGGAGGGAGACAGAGAAATGGGAGCCCATAGGCTCTCTATATGGCCACGGACGCGAGCCTTGGATCTGCTAACTGGGTTTCATAAAAAATTTGGGTCCGGGACAGCTTTCTATATGTCACATACCACAGATTAATCGACGTATTTGTTGGAGCGGCTCGTATTACTAGCCGCTCCTACTGAGCCATTTATAGAGACGGCTACTGTGCTGGAGCCCAAACACACCACTGTAGAGGCAGCTCCCATGCCAACCGCCCCTAAAAACAAACCCGGTTGCTACAAACTGTTTTTGAGCAGCCACGTGCGCAGAGTCTAGCGCTGGAACTGGAGTCGTCGCTGTGCGTGTACTCCTATACTTGATGCCATGGCCAGAGCCCTGGGCCATTAGTGACCTCGTCGTCAAGTAGCAGGTCCAAGTCACCAAAGCATACCTATCCCCTAGAGTCCGCACTCCGCAGGCAGGAATTACTACTAGCTATACTAGCTAGGAACTCAGTCACACCGTACGTATATACTCCAGGGCAGGGTATATACTCCTGTATATGTAGTACGCTTTCGTCGTCGTGTGTGGTCCGTGTCATAGTCGTCAAATCCACCGTACAACGGCGTGCACAAGTTTGCAGTTCCTGCATCCTTGACCTGACCAACAAGGCCGGAGTACGTACGTACGCAGTCTAGTTGTCTACATGAAAAAATACAGTACAGTACAGCCATTATAAATGCATCTCGCAGGACAGGACACGATCGAGTCCTGCGACAGCGCAAGTTTTTACGTACACGGATGATAGTCCCGCGACACCCCAACCGAGTCTGCCCGTGTTCACGTCATGCTCTTGCCATTGCGACCGAGTTGGCATCCTTAACCCGTGTACTCCTATACTCCATGTAGCAGTTTATTTATTTACTGATTGGTTATCCATGTGAATTGTGATGATGATATGCTGCTATATAGTATATATAGGAGTACGTATCTCCTTTCACATTGATTGTTTGTTGGTTTCAGCCAGGCTTATTCAACCAGCCAACAGTATTTTTCTCTCACAACAAGCCAGCACCAGCCAGCCCAAACCAGTTCAGAAACCAACCAGCGAACACCCCGTTTGACTGTACCAACAAATCTACATATTATATCTAAAAAACAAATCCGCTTGCGCTACAGCGCTTTGAAGCACACAAGCTACTTGATGATACAAGAGATGCGAGCTGGGTCAGCCCCGTTTGAACGTCCTCCCGGCGTTGTTAAACGGTATGACGCCTTCACATTGGTTTTTCTATCTCACTTGTCTGATCGTCGGTACACGTTTTCACATTTCACTTCTTCTTACGTCCTACTCCGTACTCCTGTTTACTTTCTTCCGTCCGGTGGCCTTGTTCAAGCGTGTACGTACGTACCTGTGCATCAGCTGCTCGTTCGATCGATCGGAATGCTGAAAGTTGATGCATGAGAGCTCTGTAGAAACTTTTACAGGGTATATGTATGCATGTACTAGCTAGCTAGGTGCTACGTACTATAATCCATTTGTTAATGTACATGTCCATCAGATCAATTTGACAAACCCTGGCCGTTGAGACCTTTGTATGTACAATTGAAAAGAGCCGCGCATGCACAAAAGCGAAGGGAAATTTGATGGGAATCTAGCCGTTCGTGTACCTACATGGCTCATTCAAAAAGCTGTATGAAGCCGTCCTTTTGATTTGTGGCTAGGGAAAAACGACATTAATTAATTAGATGTATGAGAAACTGTGACCTAGCTCCTGTGTTCAGCTAGTTTTGAGTTGTCTCTGTCTGCAGCTACGACCTAGGGCATGTTTGGCCCATGAACTAATTGTTAGCTGCTAAAGTTAGCTCCAGTAGATCTAAACATCTCAGCTAATAGTCCAACTAATAATTCAAAATCAATTATTAGGTAATGAAAATTTATTAACTAAGGCATTAATTAGGGCTTGTTTATTTGGATGGACTAGGTGCAGTTATCAGTCCGGGTAGTCATGTGTTATTTGGATCCTAGGACTAATGGATAGTAATATTACAGTGCAAAGACATTTATACCCCTTGTCTACGTGCTCTTATTCCCACACAAGGATCAGGGAGATATTTTTGACTTTTTCAATATTGTTTGCACCTATTAGTCACTAGCTGGGTTTTACCAACTAGCTAGTAAAATAACAACTAGTTGGAGGCCTAAGTTTAGTCCATCCATCATCTCACCTTTTTTTATCCTTATGGATTAAAAATTAGTCAATTAATTATTAGTCTAGTGGATCCAAACAAGGTCTTAGCTAAGTACCCGTAACTATTAGCTAGAGGATCAAACATGACTCAACTTAATAGCCTCGCTAGTAAAAAGCTATTAGCGCTAGCAGCTAACAATTAGCTGTCCAGATCCAAACAGACCCCTGATAAGGCGCCTAATTTAGAAAGTAACAAAGTCCAAGACTCATTCTCCACTTTTAACTTGCAGCACCAGAAAGCAGTTCACACGTCCACTTCAGTTCATTCAACTTACTGTGTGAACCCCCAACGTTGCAATCTTCAACTTGCTATACGTCATCTTATTACTGACAGGGTCAACCAAGAATCCCGGTCCAGTCCGTTAACCACAGTGGATTTGTCGCCTCCAGTTTGTTGCAATTGACATTTCCGGCACTCCGTATGTATATAGTCATTTGACGGAATCTATTTGAGCCTAACATTTTGAAATTGAAATGTTCAGTCACTTTCTTTCGTCGACATTAAAGCATATCCACCCAGCTTTGAGACTTCTGAAACGTATGTCTGCTGCTACTACGCAGTCGATCGAAACAAAAAGTAGACAAGCATCCAGTGTATTTTTTTCAAATAGTAAAAAAGCATACGCACTCACGCAGCATCCTCAGAAAGAGATTTCTACTAATTGTCTTCCGTTGAGCCCGTGAGTTCTTCCTGCCTTTACGCATTTTTTTACCTGGCTCTGAATGCAAAGGCTGGAGGTACAACGAGGCCTATTTCTCTTCCATACTCCTATATGTGAATCGGAAAACATTTGGTGCCGTATCCCAACAGTGCACCCAGCTTTATCACAAGCTATTTTATTCCGTCATGGATAAAAGAAACGTTTACCTTGTGCTGCAATTGCAATGAAAAGGGTCAAGGACATGAGTTCAACGAACGGTGACAGTTGTGGCACTACTCTGAATTCTTAAAAAAAAATGCCTCTGAGTAGGGACCGCCTCTACTCCCCCCCATCCAAAAAAAGAAAGAAAATCTCAATTTTTTGACGAGTCAAAAAAATCTCTGTGAATGATCTTAGCTTCATCTGAGGTAATTAATTAGGAATGTACTCCTTACAAGCAAGAGAAGAATTAGGAAGGGAAAATTGCAGGCAATCATATTTAACCGCTGCGGCCATCTCATTTATGGTATATTTATAGGAGTACTATTTATAAGCACGAACTGCATGCATCTGATTGTGACGCCACCAGCGAAAGAACGAACGAAATGGTTCTAGTATTCTTTTTTCTAAGGAAGGTGAAAATGAAATCACCCGACCGAGTTTCCCAGCATTTTCTCATCACCGGAAAATGGGGGAATGAACGAGATGACAAGAGGAGAAAAAAAAGAAAAGGAAAAAGGAAAATACGATGCTAATCTTGCAGGTAGCAGGCGCCTAAGCTTGGATTCTGCTGCATTCTAGTTACAAGACGCTCAAGTCCCTCATGTCGCCGGCCTCCAGCAGCATCTTGAGCCAGAACTCCATGTCCTCGTCCCTCGTGGACGACGACGAGAGCGGGTCCGCGAGGCCGAGGCCCAGCTCTTCGTCCATGGCGGCGAGGCCCATGTCCATGACGTCCGCCGACGACCAGAAGCTGTCGTCGATGGGCGGGAACAGCTCGGCGGCGCTGAAGCTCGTTTCCATCTCCATGGTCTCCGCCTTGCTGATGGCGCCGACCTGCTGCTGCTGCTCCTGCTGGTGGCTGGTGGTGGCCGCGTTGTCGGCCGACGACGACACGGCTGCGGCTGAGTCCGTGGCCGTGGAGAACGTCGTCATGCCGCTGCTCACGCTGCTTGACAGCCTCGGCGACGCCGTCAGGAACGGCTGATGCTGCTCGCTGTTGTCCACGGCGTCGGCGTCGACGTCGGTGGCCTTCTTGGCGGCCGATCTCTTGGCGGCGGCGAGCTTGCTTTTGCGCGCCTTCTTCTTGTCCTCCCCGTCGTCGCCGTCCTCCAGGCGCTTCTTGATGTGGGTGTGCCACACGTTCTTGATCTCGTTGTCGGTGCGCCCCGGCAGCTGCGCCGCGATCGCTGACCACCTGTGTTGCCACATAAACGTTCAGCTGTCAGCGCCAGGAACACGACACGACGAGCATGCAGGAACAGTTCGATCAAAAGAAATGAAAAAAAAAGGAATTCTGCTCGATGCAAGCGATTCCGCAAAGATTTGATTCCACGAACGAACGTGCAGGCGCAGGCTGTTGGCTGTTTCGAAAACACAACTCCTCCTCGCCAAGCTCGCGAATAAGCAATTACTCCTACTAGTTTATTGTTATGGTAAAACAAAACTCTGCTTCCCCAATCGCCATCGAATTCAGCAACTACTGGGGTTCTAATCTCATGTGCGGTTAAACTGGTAGGATGGGCACTGCATCTGCCCCCATTTTCTATGCCATCCAATGCAGCAAGTGGTGAAATGGCGTTGCTGCTGCAGGCAGGCAGGCACGCATAGGCGTATAGCAAGCGCAGGAACCCATTTTCATTTGACACCACGAGAGGCCAAACGAGATGGAATCTCTGGCGACTTTGATGGCCGTGATTGGTTAGCTCGCAAGTGGGGGCTTAAGCTAATCCCCCAAGCTTTTGTCCTCTCTAGGGGTGGCCGGGTGGGGGGATAAGTTATGGTTTCGAGGCGGCTATGGCCATGGCCCCCCATGGCCGCCGAGCAATGATAAAAGCCGTACGAAAAAGCTTTAAAAGATGGCGAGGCAGGAGCATCTTTCCATCCATCTGAACCACTGTTGGTGGCCTGGCCGCAGAGTGCAGTGCAGGCCCATTTTTTTATGTTCCAGAGAGGAAAACAAAACAAAATAAATGCCTACCGTGGAGAGAAATGCTATCGATTTCTAAGCAACATTTTTTCCCTTTTCGCGGAGAGAAGGCCGAAGTAAAAAAGGGTTGGGAATCGAAACCGGAATATCTGGGCGAGCAGAAGCAAACAAAATGAGGGCGGTACGGTGTTGCTGACGGAGACGGACGGACCTGTTGCCGAGCTCGCGGTGGAGGCGGACGATGAGGGCCTCCTCGTCGGCGGAGAAGTTGCCGCGCTTGATGTCCGGGCGGAGGTAGTTGATCCAGCGGAGGCGGCAGCTCTTCCCGCAGCGGAGCAGGCCCGCCTGCCGGGGCAGCGCGCGCCAGTTGGGGTGGCCGTTCTGCTGGATGTAGACCACCAGGCGCTGGTCCTCCTCGGGGCTCCACGCGCCCCGCCGCAGCCCCTCCTTCTCGCAGCACGGCGCCCTCCCCATAGTCCGGCCGCCCGGGCTCGACCGACCTCGAGACGATCGCTCCAAATGGAAGTGGCTGGCGCCGCGAGAGTGCGTGGGAAGGTGCTCCGGTCGAGCTAGTAGTAGCCGGCGACGGCAGCAGGGCCAGCCAGGAGAGTGGCGCAGCGGCGAATTGGAGCACGACGGGGACGGGCTGTGCCGTGTCCCCGGCGGGGGGTATTTATGGGCACGAGGGAGGGAGTGGGGAAAGCGAGTGGGATGGGAGGATCGCCGTCGCCGGGGCAGATTTGGAAAACGTGCCATTGCGTGACGCGACTGCGCGTACGCACGCTCGCTTGCGTTTTGCTTCCACGGGTGCGGGTGGGGCCCCGTCGTCCGTGTGTGACTGTGTGTGCTCACCATGCGCTGGCTGTCAGGCTGGGCCCGCACGCGGCACTGCTGCGCGTTGACCGCAGCTTTGGACTCATGCAGAGCTGAGCTGAGCAGAGCAGCTAGCACCTAGCAGCGTTGTTACCCTTTTCCAACTTCTTTTTCCTTATCGGTGCCTGTTTACTTCTCAAAATTTTACAAATTTTTTTAAGATTTCTTGTCACATTAAATCTTTAATTAAATATAAATAAAAAATAAAACTAATTACACAGTTTAGACAAAATTTACGAGACGAATCTTTTAAGCCTAATTAGATTATGATTTGACACTAATTGTCAAATAACAACGAAAGTGCTATAATACTATTTTCCAAAAAAATTCGCCAACTAAACAAGACCCTGATCCAATGATGAAGGAAAAAGGAGGCTTGAGGCTTTATTTCCAGAGGTTTCTGAGAAACGGAGGGGAAAAATATACTTTGGGAAATCATTTCTTTAGGTCCCTTTTGAAATGGAGGAAAAATGAAGGAATTTTGAAGGATTGAATTTCTACAGGAGATTTTTCTATAAGAGTCTTTGGAACAAAGGAGTGAATCCTACAAATCCCTTTGAAATTTCTATGGAATGAACTATCCTATACAACTTTTGGAGGAGAATAAGCATCAGGTCCAACTTCTTGTTTTGTTCTCCTTTGTGTCTTAGGATTCCTGTGTTATTCCTGTGCACCATTCAGATGCTTGATTCATAATTTTTCTGGATTCTAGTTTCCTATAGAATTTCAATTGCATGGTTATTTCAATCTTTTGTTTTTCCTATTCCTATATTTTGAGAATCCTGCGTTTTAAATAGGGCTTTATTTTATCTTCGAAATATATGAAAGCCGGCCAACTCTAGAAATGTATTTTGTTCACTCAAATTTTTTTAAGGCACATTCATAAATGAATCCACATATATACTCAGTTACTCACATATAAAAAATATTAGACGCAAATTCAATCTAGAAAAATTCATATGAAAATAACAATTTTCAAATGCATGTGCACTAGAAGACAAGATTACTATAGTTTTGTCTTCTAGTGTTACATGAACTTGAAATTTTTTATTTTCGTATAACTTTTAAAAAAATAAGATTGTATTCTAACTTTGGAATAGGAGTGCATATATTCATATGTTATGGAAACATGTTTTTTGAGTTTTGTATCCTAACTTTTTGTATATAAGTATAGATATGCCAAGTTTTAAATCTTTCAAGTGATGGAGTGATGGAAATATGTTTTTTAGTTATTAGTTTACATGTTTTCGCGGAGGACTATTTCCTCCTGATGTCATGGGCACGGTGGGCCCGCAGGGCAGGGAAAGGAGCAGCGGGAAGGACGGGTTGGCTGGGTGATTTTCTGTGGCTATAGGAGCTGTACCTCTTGGGGAAGACGTATAGTACTTGAAGGTTTTACTATGTCAGCCCTTAATGATGTTGCTGCTGTTGTCATCTTTGTTGATTTGCTAAGCTTCACGTAAGTGTTGAGGACGTATGCGCGCGTAAGTTGAGCGATAGTCTTCAAAAGCATGTTTTCATACGACGATGTAATAGTGACTACAGTAAATCATTTGATGGGTATATTAAGTGTGTACTCTTAAGAAGGAGAAACGGTCGTTTCCTCAGGATTTATAGTGCTCATAAGAAGGAGAAATTGTCGTTTGGTCTGGATCTATAGTGCTCGTAAGAAGTAGAAACAGTCGTTTGGTCGGGATTTATAATGCGTTTGACTGGAAGATAGATTTTTTCTAGATTCTCTCAAAAAATGTTTCAGATGCTGCATCAGAATTACTTGAGGAGGTAATTTGGCTCATAGACTACATTCTAATAAAAAATATTTTTCTATAAAAAATTCTATAAATAAAAATATTCTTGAAAAATATAGCACTTTCTATAAGTGTAGAACAACTTAAATACAACCCATTTTAACTTATTGCACATATAAATTATTAACTGAATAAAATACGTGGCAGAGAAGCGCATGAGGTGGTAGAAAAATCATGCAAAACCACCCACATGTCGTTTGAGTCTTTTACGAAGGAAATCTCATGATCACTAGAAACGTTTGAGCTCCGAATAGCTAGGCTGCAATACCGTTTCTAGTGATTCTCAATAGAAATGGATCTGACTTTGTCATCTAGACTAAGCCTAACCATGGTGACATGTGATGCAACAGTGACAGACTATAGTAAATTACCATTTGGATGTATTAACCGTGTGTACATTTTCTCGAGCGAGAGGAAATGGTCGTCTGATGATGATTTAACCTTGATGTAGGTAATTCTTTGTCAAAACGAGAGCACCTTTACCATGTCAACCATACACATAAGAGAAGAGATCCAGAGCCAGCCAGCATCATCCTTGACTTTGATTAGGTGCCAGCCAAATGCTCATGTCACACTGCCATTTAACCAAAAGATGACAACACCACTCATTAATTTAGACCTATTATAACTGACAACAAGATCCTAAGCGATTTAGTGCCTGGTTTTAAAATTAGAAAGCCAGTAGAACCCACTTTGGACGACCAAAATATAAAAGCTATTTCATGGACAGCAGTAGCATGCTAACATTTCAAGCCACCTCCCAAGTCCCAACAAAAGCTGGACTTGGATTAAAAAAAAAGAACTGGACCATTTGAAAGGGACCAATTTGCAGGGCTTGCTTGTAATAGCACTGTTGTGGGTATATGTAGAGGCACAGGGCTTTATTGATACCACCATGTGCGATGCCGTAACGAATATTCACTTTTCGTTTTGGTTTAATTTGACACGACGGATCAACGAATATTCAACCATATGATTCTTTCAAGGACATGACAGGAATATTGTCAAGATAAAAAAAAAGATAAAGATGCCATATATTGCCACTAACAATAGAGCCCATTTTTTTAATTCGCGACACTGGCAATGTTGCATCATGATCTTTTATGTGCTGGTGTTGGAGCGATTGCGTTCGTACATCACTACTGAATTAACAGTGTCACAAAGTTTACGTGCATATAGCCACTCATTATTCAGATTGGAAACATCCAGTTTTTTTCCTGGACGAAAAATAAATGAAAAAAATCCAGATAACGCCCCAGCAAGTGCCATCTGATTCATCCTATCATAACATATATAATCTACACATTTGACACCTGAGATTAAATACTAGCAGCACTCATTTAAAGTGCTGCGGCTAAATAATGCATGCACTCAATTAATACTTCGTGCTAATTACTCCCTCTGTTCCAGAATTATAATAATATTTTATATAGAAAAAGTCAAATTTTAATAATTATTTAAGTTATATACAAGTTTACTTAGAAAACAAGATTTGTACCAGTAGATTTGCATTTAAATTGCCTCTGAAAAAATATAAGTTCTTTAGCAAATCACAATATATAATAAGAAAAAATAATGGTCAAAATCAGTTTTATTTGATATTTTTCTGATTATTCATAAAAACATTTAACATTTTGAAGACGGGAGGAGTACTGTTGGATGTCCAACCCATCTATCCATTTCGGAGGAGAAAGAAATCCATCGTATCACAGAACACGCTACTTGATACATTATGATTCGTCTTGTAATATATATATTAACATTTTTCAGATCAGTAGTTTGCTTAGAGCAAAACTATGCATTGTATCTAGCCAATCCAGCTATTTATTAATTCTGCTTTCATTCCTGCTGTGATAGGACTGGTCCAGATACACAGATACCAAGCTGGTCCCCACCCATGAAAGCCAAATATAACCTGCCTGCATGTATCTTTTAAGTGCAAATTACACAGAGAAGGTTGTGAGCAAACTAATTATGTTCTCTTGTGTTTTCAAACAGGAATAGTCGGCTAGCTGGTCTGCCGCCGTCAACAAAGTAAGGCGCAAATTTGAAAATGTTGCTACTCGTTTGCTTATTGAACTTAACTACCTGCTACAATTTGTTTAGACCCCAGGTATTTTTTCCAACAATTTTGCCACAACATTATGTATATATTAAATATACACATGTATATATGTTAGTTGTATTTTATCTTTGATATTCTCTTATCATTCACTTATAAAAATAAATAAAATAAATGCAGTGTACCGGCCTCTTCCTACCACACTCCACCAAGCTTTCCTAGGTCCATCCAAATTGCCATTTGACATCCAGACAACTAGGATCTTCCTCAGCCCTCAACATGGACACATTTTGGCATCGCATGCATCTATCACCCCTTGCCCATCCCTAATCGCCCCTTCTCTCTCAAATCCAAATCACATATGAACCCAAGGATAACCGCCAGCGAAATTGACATACAGACAAACATAGGCACCACGTCGTGGCGACATACAACCAGAGGTAGACGACTTGGTTTGGAAATGTCCAACATTAAAATCATGGGATCCGCCACCACATCGATGCTTCATGCATCTTATAACAAGTACTAACTATAGACTATCCTCAAAACATTCATGTACTCACAAGACATACAAAATGGTGACATATAATATAAATTATAATAAAAACATAAACATCACTACAGCATAAGGCACCTAGCATTGCCACCTATATCTTTGGTTGTTTCTTTAGAATAGCCAGTTATGAGGAGTCGCTTCTTGTTTTAGAGGAAAATATTGGCATAGTTGGATC